TTCAGCATCTGCAACTGAGCCGCGTTACATTTTGCTAGATCTGCTTTAGTAAATGCGTCCACTGTCATCACCGGATGTGGTACCCACCTTATAGTTCCGCCAAAGCGCCCCAGGGTGTCCCGACAGACCGAGAGGTCAATAGCTGATCGCCTGTCATTTTTCGAACCCGTCGAGTCCCGCTCTAAGGTGTCGAAAATCCCCTTAGCGTCGACTATGCTCAAGTTTCCCTCTTGCTGTGCATTCAGGGAGCAATCAGAACGAAGAACGGCGGCGAACGGACCAAGCTTATCTCGCCACTCCTCTGTGACCACCCCGCCCCTCAACACGTCCAGGTACAGGAGCTGTAACCACTCAGCCTCTGCCAGAGCCCCGGAAAGAGATTGAACCTCGCCGGCCAAGGTAGAGGGGACAGCTCGCTTAGCACGATGGGATCGCCAAGCTAGAGGAGACACTCGTGCTCTGGATCCTGTGGACAAAGAACGATCTGCTGCGTATACCTGCCAAGCTAGCTGGGCCTTATCGGAGTCGCTGGTGGCAACCCCTCCGGCGTCCGAGGAAGTGACAAACATTAGGTCGTCGGGGCGGAATTTCCAAATAGTTATGGGGATAGCTGCTGTCTGCCGAACATGATCTACCATTTTGTTGGCCAGCAGAGCGTCGCCCACCGTCGGAGACTCCACTCGAGAAGCCAGGATGGACGCGGTGCCGCAGGCCTCTGCCCGAGTCTCTCGCCCGACCCAATTGAGTCGGTAAATGAGCGACCTGAACTCGATTTTCTCGCGGCCCAACAAGGGCTGATCATGCCTACCTCGTCGATCCCGGGATATATAAAGGCGCTGAAGATTCTCGAGGATGTATTTCTGTTGATCAACTAGAATGCGGTCATGTAGTCGTCGAACCCGCCTCCCAATATACTCCACCCCCTCAGAGTCCACAGGCCTAAGCTTTCCGAAAACGAACCGATCGGTAAACGCCTTAATCTGTTCCTCCCGAACTCCTTCCGCTAAACCGATGGCCCAATCGTCCACCTCAATCAAAACCATGGCGTCCGGACCCTTAGGACCCCTGCGGACCATCCAACACGGCTCCAACTTCGAACGAACGTATCCCAAGGATTCGAAGAAACGAACAGTCGTACGATGGAGGGCCAACGGGGCGTCGTCCAGTCCGTAGACTGGAGCGATCAATTCGATCAAACTGCCAGCGTCAAGGCCCAGACCCTCGCAGGGCTCCACGAACACCCTCCCGCGGCTCCTCCGAAGAGGATCCGACTGACAGAAGGCATTCTTGGGATCCCCGATGGTCAAGGTCATCCCCAGGGCGAGGGCCGTCGTGAGAAACAGCATCAAAGACTCCATCTGAGGTGTCGGGGCGTAAACTCTCAACTCCTGAGTGTCCTCGTCCTCGTGGCCTCGCACGCACCACCTGCTCTTGGCCAGTGGCTTGCTGTAGCAGCCCTCCTGAGGCTTCCACCTCCTTACCATCCTGGACGAGACCACTCGGTTGGGATACAGGGCCCTGAGACACTTTCCCTCCGCAGGAGGATGGACATGCACCGCCCCCGTCCCCAGGATATTGGACCACTCCTTGGCATCCGAATCTCGGAAGGCCTGTCTACCCTCGGCATCGAGCTTGGAAACGGAGATCTCGCCTCCTCGGGACGTGGCAAGAGAGAGAGTCCCCTCGGAGGACGATCCAGACTCCCCCGGAACCAACTCCACGTCGGCGTTGCCGTTCACAAAATTGGTGCAGTCGCCGGACCAACCTTGTTCTGTCAAGCCCTCGCAGACCGAAGCAAAGTACTGTCCAGCCTGATCAGTGCTGAGAGAGAAGAGCGGCGGCAGTGTCCATCTGATCGGAACCCGACTCCTGTCTGGCCCCCCGAGGTGGGCTCCTCGAGTTTCTTCTGAGCGACTCCCAATCAGCTATCCTACCTCGAACTGAGCTGTCTCCCCTCTGGAGGTCCTCTATCGGACGGGGCAACCTGTTAAGACGATCTCCGTACCTGGCCAGGTCGACGGGCCTGGATCGGACCTCCGCGTCAAACTGCTCCCGGGACAAAAGGGGCGATCCCACGCTCGAGCACCCATGTCCCGAACGCGGTTGGCCTGGATCAGAGCGAGCTCCCTCAGCCGAGCTGGGCCGGGCTGTTCCCCTCCCTCTCGGTTCGTCTCTGGTCGAATCTCCGAGGGGGGGCGCAACTGAATCCCGGGGCCGACCGAACTGGGATCCGGGGAAGCGGAGGCCGAGCCGGGCGGGGCCGAGAGCTCTTCAGAGATGCCTGGCACGCTCCCGTCGACACTAGACTGGGCAAGCTCGGGACCTCTACGTTTGCTGCCAACGCTGACCTCGCCGGCCGACTCGTTCTCTCCCTCGGACAACCTGTCGGATGGAAGATCCGTGCGAGAGGAGACCTCGCGAGACATCGAGCGATCCTCTCTCCCGCCCGAGGAAGCCGCAGGAGCCGGCGCCGCGGGTGGAGGCACAGCGGGCGGAGACACCTCAGCACCTGGCTCGCCCGCCGTCCGACGGGCTGGGGGCAGCTGGCCAGGGTCCGGAGCCGCAGGAGCCGGAGGGAGCGGAGGCTGAATCCCTTCTCGATCATTCACAACCGGACCGTGCCTCTCCTCGTCCGGTGGAGGACCTTCCCTGGACACGTCGACCCCGGCTCTCTGGGACCCGGACTGGACCTGACGGACCAACTCCTGGAGGGCCGTGTCCTGAAGCATTTCGGCTCCGCGGGCCTCTGGGCCGGACGCATGTCGAAGCTGCTCCGTGGCACATTTCCAAAGACGGGATCTCATAGAGACCCAAACGGAATTCCCGCACTGGAAAACAACAAGGCCCGGGCCGCACCACCTGTCCCTCTGCAGGGCATAGGTTTTCTTCTGCTGCAAAGCTGGGGCCCGTCTCCACACATACACCCAGTCGCCTGGAGCGTACTTTTGATCCCGATGCCTGGGAGCTCGAGCAGCCGAGTGAACCTTCTCCCGGCAGCTGCCCTCGAACAACAGGGTCCGGGCACGCTTCCTGATGGCCATGGCCCGGGCAAAATCCGCGGCCGCGGTGTCCTGATCCCAAACCCCCTCGGCAATGTCGTCCAGTCACGCTTGATTGACCGGATCGTCGGAAAGAAGGTCCTGGGGCACCCTGGGGTTCTTGCCGAACACTAACTGGTTCGGAGAGAACCCTCCACGGTGGAGGTAGGAATTCTTGGCCGCTGTGATTTCGTAAACCAGCAGCTCGAGCTCGCGCTCGTTGGACACCGGGGCCCCCTCGGAACCTCTGAGAGCCAAATCCTTGACCCATCCGCCGTGTCTCTCACATCGGCCGTTCTCCCACGGAGCCTCGGCACTGGTGATGTGCTGAAAAGTGCCGCGCTGCTCAGCTCCCCGAGAGAACTCGCCCTGGAACTCGGGTCCTCCGTCTGAGATCAAGAGCTCCGGGGGGCCAAAATAACGCACCCACGACGACGCGAAACACTCCCACGCTTCTCGAGCACCTCCCTCATATCTGGCCACCACTTGGTAATTCGTACCGTGGCAGATCATATTGAGCACCAGAGTCTCACCGAACTTAATGTGGAAAGTGTCCACCGCAATGACCCGGTTAAACTGGTACGTGCGGGGCATCGCCACATATCTCCGGTGGGCGGGGCGTGGGTGTGATTCGCAGTCAGGACAGGCAAACTCTCTCTTCACGTACTGTAAAACCTCTGGCCTCGCATGGGCGCCTCGGAGAATCTGCATAAACAAAGGGCGAGCGGGGTGTCCGAGATTAACATGAACCTTCTGTATCAAGTTGCGCAGCCTGGCATCGATTTCCAGGGGGGGAGAATCTGAACGTCCGAGCCCGACGGATGAGTCGAGACCTGGGGTCGCCTCGCCCTCGTCGGGACCCTCGTCCAAAGCCCCCTCTGGGTCGACCACGGAAGGAAAGCAAGACCACAACACATCAGGAACAAGGGTGGAACTGGATTCAACCTGACACGGGAGCTCCTTGCGAATCCATCCGATCACGTCCGAGGTCCGAGCCATCCTGGCCCTCCTGTCCAGCACCCCTCTAGTAACAGTGGCCAGGTGACGCACGAGGTTGGGGGAGTAAACCTGCGCCTTGGAAGTCTGAGCTGAACCTCGAAGGACGTGATGAGGGTGGTCTCCCTTGCACCGAAAACTCGAAAGAGAAGCCACAACCTCCGAGTCGTTACTGATGATGCGGGTCGGCTTCTTAGAAAGCTCGCCGCTGCTGTCGACGCACAGTCCGAAGCGGCACATGTCAAAAACAACCGACTGAACCCCTGGAAGAGACCAGAGCTTTTTCATGGGAGCCGACTTCCAACTAGACGCCCCTTCGGGATGTTCCAGAACAAAGACTCCTCCAAGTGACACTTGGAGCTCGGCCAACTCCACCGCGAAACGAAGCAACATCATGCCCTCGACTACCGCCCGAGCTCGCACAGCGGGGTCCATCAAATTTTTGGAAATCTCGAAGGCCACACTGAAAACTCGACAGGGCGGTTCCAGGAAAAGGACCCCGGGTCTCCTCGAACGGACGAGCTCGCGGGCCAGAAGACGGTCCCTGAATCGCCGAAAATCCCAGCCCGTGGAAAGGTCCAGACTTCCTTGATCGGCAACGCCCAGCTGGCGTGCCACCGGGCATATCCTTGGTGGAGAGAAGACCTCCATCACTCCTCGAGACATTCCCTCCTTCCTCCGACGACCGACCTCACGACGGGAGAGAAGGGAAGGGAGGAGAGGAGGCGAGTACTGTAACGAGGCAGAAGCAGCAGAGGTTGAAGGAACGCTCGAATCGGGCGGACATGCACGGGTGGAGAGTCCCCGAACTTCAGCATCTGGAGATGCTCGGTGTCCTGGTGGCTCTTGTTGTCCTCCGCTGCTCTTTCCTGGCTCGGCCGCAAGGAGAGTCATGAGGTTTTTCTCCATTTCTCGGCGTTGTCGCCTCGAAATCGTCGTCTCGTAGTCATCGTTAAACTCGGCATCCTGGATGGCGGAGGCCCAGCCGTCGTGACGGACAACTAAATGGCACTCGCCCTCGACAGGAAAAGAGCTCAAGGGATCTCCCGAGCTGGGAAGCGCCTGCAACCGGTCGCCCTGTTTGCCAAGAAGAATCCACGAGTGCCCCATATCCCGATGCTTCTTCCACATCTCCTCCTTGCACCTTGGGAAGTAGAATAGCTCGGACGCCGGCGCATTCAGCGGGGAAACTGCCTGCTGAAGGTAAAGAGATTCGCAACCAACCTCACTCACGAACCGGCTCATGCCGCAGCACGTGCCCTTCTCAGCGACAGGAATGCCAGTCCAGCAACCGCCGGGCCCTCTTAGGACTCCTTCTCCGCTGCGATCGGCATCTCCGGCGCCGGCGACTGGGAGACTGGCTGACCGATCACCCCCCACTTGTCGGCCTGGCGCGGCGTGCCCGGAATCGCCGTCATGACCGCTGCCTCCTGGCACTGCTGGATCTGGGCCAGGTGGGGCTGCATGAGGAACTGCAGAGCCTGGCTGTGTTGCTGGATGTACTCGTTCTGCTGCAGAATCGCGTCCTTCAGCTCCTTCATATCCTTCGCAAGAGTACTCTCCGATGTCCTCGGTCGGCTCTTCCGCTCCGCCTAGGCCAGCTCGTCCACCTGCATCGGTACGTATGACGGCCTCGACGTGGCCTCCGAGTGGACCGGCACCTTCACCGCGGCCGGACTCCTGGAGGTGTCGGTCTTGACCAGCTTGATCAGGAGCTCCTTCCTGTCGTCCTGGCCCTTGTTGTAGCGGCGGATGTTCGGCATCGCCGCGCTGCTCTGGTTCGGGTCGTCCTTGATCGCCAGGAGGTGGGGCTGCACCTCGATCTTTGGGCGATTCCAGTAGGCCAGCCTCAGGTCGCAGTCGATGCACTTGATCCAGGTCGCGCTCGCGTTGGCCCCGACTCTGCGCCTCAGCGGATCGCGACGACACTGTAGCATCTGGATCGTGAACTGGCGCTGCTTGCGAGTGAAAGCCACCGGCCAGAGTCGCCCGGTGCGGCTCATGTCGAGAAGCGACAGGCTGAGCGCCTCCTCTATCCCGAGGCTCTGCGCGACCACGTGGACCCAGCGGAGGCGCTTCATCTGCATTCCTTCCGGCACATCTCGGCCAGTCAGGACATAGTGTTGGTCTGTCATCCCGCCCACGTGCGATATCTCCCAGTAAGCTCTGAGTGGAACTCTGAAGGGAATCACAAACCGCGATGGGGTGGAGGCTTGAGCAAAACGAAACGGACCGGGACGCTGCGGAGGCGCAGTGGTTTTGAGGAACGTCTGACGCGTTGGAACGTTCTAGCGTATTTTCTCGAGCTGCGTCCGGACCGTTGCTAACGAGAGCTTCCTTTTCTGACCCCTTTTGTTCCCCACGGCCTGATATATCGTACGGTACTGATGCTGGATAAGCCGGAGCTGGAGCTGATATCCACGCTGGGAAGGCTGGAACCGTGTCTGGACATGGTACGGCATCCGCTGGAAGTGCTGAATAGGCTGAAATCTCGACCAACTCGTGAGGGGACGACTCGCACCGATCTTGGACTGGATCCCTAGACCCTTGGCTTGGACCCGGGACCCTCGATCTACCCTCGCCGTGCCCCCCCGACTGGTCGTTCGACGTCGCCAAAACGGCGCTGCCACCGCCGTCTCTCATCGGCGCCTTATACTGCGAAACAGGCTGCAGCACAAAATCAGACTTCGAGACACCGAACCTGCTCGACACCGACTCTGGAACGTGAAAATCGTCGGGAGAGCCCAACTTGTCAATCCGGATGGTCCGATGTCCCGACGGAAGTGCCTTCAACGGCGTCGTTGTGACTAAATTCTTGAAGGTGACCTTCTCTTCTGGAAGGTCTATGACAGCTCCTAAGGCCTCCTGCATACCAATTGGCATCAAAGCAGGAACTTCTTCGCTGATCGCATCGAGTTCCATCACTCCGAGACGGCCCTCTATCCCAGTAGGGACCAGGAGACCGGTCAAAACACTGGTGCGGCCTCCCACTCCCTGGGCATGTTTGTTGGCGCTGGGCACCCGGGGGATCCGAAAACCGAGCGCGGCGAGCCTCTCGTCCAGCTTCGAAAGGGACACAGGGCCTATGAGCCTTTGGCCCGCCGCCGTATCTACAATGATATCCCCCCCGGGTGCGGTCAGAAAAACCTGCGGAGCCTGCTCAGAAGACGGGGAGGTGGAGACGACCGATGTCCGAGCCTTCTCGATCAGTGCCTCCAAGGGGTTCTGATAGAACGTCGTCATCAGCACCAGGCCAGACGAGGAGGACCCGCCGTTCGTCAAGACAAAGAATCCCTGCTTCGGCGGCGTCCCCGGGGGACCTGGTGCTGGAGGGTTCGGGCACTCCTTGGCCCAGTGGCCCTTCTGATGGCACTTGTGGCACTTCGTGACCTTCATCAACTGCTGAGGGGATAACCTCGCCTTGCGAGGTCGATGCTGTCCGTCTTGTCCACGATGTGGCCGCTGAGGACGGGCTCCTGGGTGAGCAGGAGGCGGCGTCGGGAAATTCTTCCGGTCTACCTTCAGCCGCCTCTTGAAGTCCTTGTTCTCCTTCCACGTCTTGCGCCTCTCGGAAGCGAGCTCTGCCAAAATGGTGGGAACTTCTAGCTCCGAGAGGTCCGCTTTGTCCAGCGTCACCAGCACGGTCTGCTCCTGACTTGAATCCATGGACGAGACGCTGCTGGCGTCCTTGTCGTCATAGAACGTGGGCTGCGACGTCTGCTCGAACTCTGCGAACGTCTTCTTGCTCTGGGTCAGGCTCTCATTCCGCTGCATATCCATCTCTCGAATGGCGTGGAGCAGATCCTGGTACTCTCCTGAATTCTTACTAGCATCTGCTTCTGTGAGTCGTCTAGACCGACTCCTTCCTCAATGAACAGGCGTCGCCACTTGCTGTTCAACTCGAGCCCCTGCGAGGAGAGGCGGTCGAACACCTGGTCCATCCTGGCCGCGTAGACGCTCGGCGTCTCTCCCTGCCGGCGTTGAAACCCGAACAAGCACTCGCGGCCCACTCTTCTCATCTCGTCGTCCTGCCTCTGGCCGCTGAGCACGTCCAAGCGATCGAGGATCGCCTGCGGGCCGGCCTCGGAAACGAGGATGTCGTCCGATAGATCCTCGAACTTCTTGCGCAAGTCGAGGTCCAGCACCTTCAGGATCTTGTCTGCCCGACGGCCGACGGAGACACCTGTCCCGGCCAGCCAGCGTCGTACGCCCCGGCGCCACAGGCGGTATTCGCTCCATCCCAACCATGCGTCGGGGTCGCTCAGGTCGGGCTTCTCCCACCACGAAGACGACCAGTCCTCTGGGGACTGTCGCCACGCACTGCTGCTGCTGCTGCGCCAGTCTCTGGCGCCCCACTTCTTCTGGCCCAAGCCCGCGTCGTCCTGAGAATCCTTCGGCGCGTCGGCTGAGGCTGACCACCAGCCTCTGCCTGCCCATCGCGCTCCCTCATTCTCTCCGACGCCTCGTCTGGATCCTTCTCGCCAGGGATCGTTGCCGAGCTCCTCCCACGGGTCGGATCCGGATGCTGAGTCGCGGGCCGGTTGAGCCGCACCTTCCGACGTGGGGCCCGCGGTACCCGAGACGGCCAGAGCCGCCTTGATCTCCTCGCGCAGGATGCTCCTCAGCTCGAACGCCTGCGCCGATGTGAAACTGTTGCTGCTGCCAATCGCGCCCTGGGGCGCGCCACCTGGGGCCTCGCGGCCTCTCTGGCCTTGTTCTCTCTGAAAGTCATCCTTATCTCGATCGCCACTGCTGGCAGCCGGAGGCTGCCCATCCGCTGGCATGGCGGCGGTCACTGGAGACGGCCGGGGAAGACCGACCGCTCCGCTACACTGACGCGTCAAGGACGGCCAGTGGCGAAAACGAGGGATGTTTTCTCTCAAGAGAGACATGGTGTCGAAAGGTGCCTGGGTCAAAACAGCAGCGGATGCGCGCACACGTGCGAACATAAACGTGTATGACAAGTAACTATACAGACAGTACAAGAAATGATTAAGCTCAAACAGCTCACAATTCCACAGAGGTGATCCGCGAGGGACCCACCTCCGCTGGGCATCCCAGGAGCCCACGAAAGTGGCGACAGTTGCGCAGATCGCAAGCCCCAGGACACCGCGAGGTCTCGAGATGATCCGCGTGGGACGCACCTCCGCTGGGCCTCCCAAGAACCAACGAAAGTGGCGACAGTTGCGCAGATCGCAAGTCCCCCAGGGCACCGCGAGGTCCTGAGGTGATCCGCGTGGGACCCACCTCCGCTGGACTTCCCAGCAGCCCACGAAAGTGGCGACAGTTGCGCAGATCGCAGCCGCCAGGGCACGGCGAGGTCCCGAGGTGATCCGCGTGGGACCTACCTCCGCTGGGCCTCCCAGGAGCCCACGAAAGTGGCGACAGTTGCGCAGATCGCAACCCCCAGGGCACGGCGAGGTCCCGAGGTGGTCCGCGTGGGACCCACCTCCGCTGGGCCTCCCAGGAGCCCACGAAAGGGGCGACAGTTGCGCAGGTCGCAGCCCCCAGGGCACGGCGAGGTCCCGAGGTGGTCCGCGTGGGACCCACCTCCGCTGGGCCTCCCAGGAGCCCACGAAAGTGGCGACAATTGCGCAGATCGCAGCCCCCAGGGCACCGCGAGGTCCCGAGGTGGTCCGCGTGGGACCCGCCTCCGCTGGGCCTCCCAAGAACCCCCGAAAGTGGCGACAATTGCGCAGATCGCAAGCACCCCAGGGCACCGCGAGGTCCCGAGGTGGTCCGTGTGGGACCCACCTCCGCTGGGCCTCCCAGGAGCCCACGAAAGTGGCAACAGTTGCGCAGATCGCAGCCCACAGGGCACCGCGAGGTCCCGAGGTGGTCCGCGTGGGACCCACCTCCGCTGGGCCTCCCAGGAGCCCACGAAAATGGCGACAGTTGCGCAGATCGCAAGCACCCCAGGGCACCGCGAGGTCCCGAGGTGGTCCGCGTGGGACCCACCTCCGCTGGGCCTACCAGAAGCCCACGAAAGTGGCGACAGTTGCACAGATCGCAGCCCCCAAGGCACGAGAGAAGAGGAGAGAGGAGCACAGGAAACAGGAGAGGAGGAGGGGAGGAGGGGGGAGGAGAAGAAGGAGGCCAGGGCGACCACACTGCATTATTCAAAACGAATACCCAACCATATGAGGGTTGGGAAACATATCCCGGCAAAGCAACCTAACAGCGATGTGTAGGAGCATATCTGGAAGCATTCCCCTTAAGATTCAGATGAGAATCCAGTTGTAGAATTCTGCTGTTCTCGTAGTCGTAGTCGCATTCGCGATGACAGTCGCAGTGGCCTGCATCAGCCTCAGCCTCAGCCTCAGCCTGCCTCAGCATCAGCCTGCCTCAGCCTCAGCCTCAGCCTGCCTCAGCCTCAGCCTCAGCCTGCTTCAGCCTCAGCCTCAGTCTGCCTGCAGCCCTGCCTCAGCCTGAGCCTGCCTCAGCCTCAGCCTCAGCCTCAGCCTGCCTCAGCCTCAGCCTGCCTCAGCCTCAGCCTCAGCCTGCTTCAGCCTCAGCCTCAGTCTGCCTTCAGCCTCGGCCTCAGCCTCAGCCTGCCTCAGCCTCAGCCTGCCTCAGCCTCCGCCTCAGCCTCAGCCTGCCTCAGCATCAGCCTGCCTCAGCCTCAGCCTCAGCCTGCCTCAGCCTCAGCCTCAGCCTGCATCAGCCTCAGCCTCAGCCTGCCTCTGCTTCAGCCTGCCTCAGCCTCAGCCTCAGCCTGCCTCAGCCTGCCTCAGCCTCGGCCTCAGCCTCAGCCTGCTTCAGCCTCAGCCTCAGTCTGCCTTCAGCCTCGGCCTCAGCCTGGATCAGCCTCAGCCTCAGCCTGCCTCAGCATCAGCCTGCCTCAGCCTCAGCCTCAGCCTGCCTCAGCCTCTCCCTCAGCCTGCTTCAGCCTCAGCCTCAGTCTGCCTTCAGCCTCGGCCTCAGCCTCAGCCTGCCTCAGCCTCAGCCTGCATCCAGCCTCGGCCTCAGCCTCAGCCTGCTTCAGCCTCAGCCTCAGTCTGCCTTCAGCCTTGGCCTCAGCCTCAGCCTGCCTCAGCCTCAGCCTGCATCAGCCTCAGCCTAAGCCTCAGCCTGCCTCAGCCTCAGCCTGCCTCAGCCTCAGCCTCAGCCTGCCTCAGCCTCAGCCTCAGCCTGCATCAGCCTCAGCTCAGTC